TCAATGAAGTATTTAATATGTAATGGGATTTTATGGTAAACACTAAGTACTTGCAAGCTTTGTGATTAATTTCGCAATATTGCGGGTTATTTGAAATGTACTGGGTAGTTCGAAATTGTAGATTCAATTTGTTATTTGATTGCATTTGAAATTTATGGTTTATATAATTAATTTATGCTTATGGAATATTAACATAGGACTTATACTCTTACTGAGTTATTCAAAATGATGTTTTGTTTTATGTTCAGGAAAAGATCACCTCAAAATTTCTTATCGTAATTATATTCTTTTGTTTTTTATTTATATTTCTGTTTGTGCAACATAAGTCTAGCCGACAGCCGACACGTCAGAATAATATAAATATTTTTTTTTCTAATTAAAAGTAAAGTTGTCTGTTGATAATGAAATTCAAAATTAACTGTAGATAATTTGGATGCAAAAAGACGCAATTCGTCAATTTTATTACAAAATCAAAATGAGCATATCTCACTCACTCGACAATGGTATACCTTAATAGTAATTATTCTTATGCGAGTGTGTTGTTCAAAGGTTTTGAATGACTATATAAATTTTATAAATACTGTTATATTTTAAAGCTAATAAACCAGTAATATAACACTTCCTCCGTAGCCGATTAGGTTTCTATACGAGCAACGTGAACGTTTACAAAGACTAATTTTATTATGTTGCTCGCATAGAATAGTGCAATTGTGGTGGAGTTGCCGGGATGCGTAAACCCGATTAATATAGAGAGCCCACTCGACGTGGAGAGTCGATCTAAAATTAAAACCACTTGTCCGCAATGTCCCATTACATTACACGCTACTTTTAAACAATAGCAATTACATAACATTAAATAATAGCAATGTAAAACGAAATACTGCATTCCGTATCGTTGATTATCACAAAAGCGGACTTTAAAAATTATTATGTCAATCGAAATCCTATTCCGTCTTACTTTAGTACCACATTATAGTACAAGTGAAAAAACAGGTTTCTTTTATATGTTCAGAAAATATGAACCATTTTAACTTATGAATATTTATCAAAATAAAATTTATGAAAGTGATTTGAAAAATTTACTCTTTCAAAGTAGCGAAAAAATGTTACAAAAATTTGCTAAAATACATATGGCAATTAATTAATTACGCAAAATGTTACAACTTTTATTATAACAGCTATAAACATGAACGCACAAATAACAAAGATATAACAAAGATTGCCCATACGCACATACGTTTTTCACTACCGTAACACTTTGTGACGTCACCTAATGGCAGTTTCACAAACATAGCACCGTATCTCCGAAACTGTTAATCGCAGACATGTTGTTATTTCTACATAATTTCTCAGAAATTATTTTATACTATTTATTAATAAAAAAAAATGTCATCTAGCCTATTGGCCAGTGCATGGTTTAAACCACGTATGTACTAACTTTAGTCCTCGTGTTATAATAAAACGCATTGGGTTTATATTCGACTCCAGAGTTTTTATATATCTTATACTGTTGTCCAATTTAAATTATAATAATTTCGTAAAACTCGAGGAAGAATTAGTTATACCAAAACTACCTATACCTTTTTTCCAATCGTATGAGAATGCGTGATAAAAAAAACCGTTCCTGATATAAAAAGTAACAAATAGAGTGTATTAATTTCGAAATTCGTTAAGTACGTATATATATATATATATTTTTTTTCCACATCTCAAACTTTGAGCTTGATGATTTAAAAAATAATTTAATTATTTTTTCTATACTAAAGTGCAAGAAATTTTAGAATTTCTATGAGAAGCACCCATTAAATTTTGTTACACTATTTCCATAAAAACCGGTAACATTTTATATCGACTCTGTTACACGTAACAATACCGGTATGTACAACAAAGATCGTGATAAAACTACCGAGCGGTGCTCAGGGGAGGCGTAAGAAAGAATGCTACCAATTTGCCGCTATAGAAAGCAATTTTAGGGCGGACACCCGATACATGTTTAGCACCGGTGGCAACACGTGTTCAATAAGAGATCGCTAGATCCCAGAGGTGGACGTAGACAGTGTTGCCAACGTACGATTTGTTAACATTTAGGTAACTTAAGATGAAATGTGGCAAAAAAACAAATGAAAGAGTTGAGGCACATTTGAATTGTAAATAGTCCTATTCTTTATTTGGTATAGTTTCATTTACTCAAAGCAGGTTTACTATGCCCAAAGTTTACCTAGTGGACCTTAGCAATAACGCCACAATTTGCACGAATATTCTTATTTCTATAAGGACATTACAGAAAAGAGATCTTTCTGTGTTCTATGGTTTTTAGTGCAATAAAGTATACTCATCTATTCACATTTTTTAACCCCAAAGAAATTAAAAATAACCTTATAAATAAAATGGAATCAAATCCAAACGTCACAGACTTATTTCTTACTGACTGTTATGCCGCAACTTCGTCCGCGTAAATTGTAGCTAAAATAATTTCGCGTAAATACAAGGAAAGAATTTTCAAAATCGATCGAGTAGTTTGAGCCTATTCATTGCAAGTATACAAACAAACAATCAAATAATTTCTCTTTATAATATTGTTATAGATATTTCCGCGAAAACTACTCATTTAAAAAATCAATTTTTAAAGTGTTTCAGCCCGTATGTTTATTTTATAAATATTACATTTGCAGGTTCCATCATAAATGAATAGGTGTGTCTTTGGACTGAATAAATAATATAAAAAAAAAACATTTTAATAATGCTCTTTAACTAAAGCAAAACGGTCGCGGTAAACGTTTTCAATTAAAAGATATCTACATGCAAACAATCATACTATGCACATACATCAGAAAATTTAACTTATCTTAGGTTACACTGAAACTCAACTGCATTAGACTATTTATGCACAAACAAAAGTTAAAAGTATTGCTTGCAGCGCTGGCCGATACAATCGTTTTAAATCGCCATCGGCCGTGAACACAAACGCAACTGCAATTTCTACTCGACCGCAAATTACATTTACGCCCGGTCTCCCTGGGTCACCCTCTGAAATTCTCACCTCTCTTTTAAGACGGTAATAAGAACTAGAGAGTCACATCTTGTGTAACAAAGTTCTGTTTGTACTATATATAAACATAGGTGAACGACACCGCTGTTGGTTTGTAAATCGCCTAACTATGTATAAATTAACTCAAAAGAGTGTTTCGTCCTTAAGCACGAGTAAGTTCACTTGCGAAAATTTCATTAATATTTCATATTTTTTATTTTATATAATTCATATTTTAATAGTTCAACTATTTTTAGTTCAGACATATATACCCACAAAACTATTTGTATATATAACCAATCATTGAATTGTATTAAGAATCCCGAAACTGATCTATCCCCTAGTTCAAGTTGTAAATTACATGTATACTAAATTCGGGAACAACTTTTTTTAATTGTTATACATTTTGAGAATGTAATAAATAAAATTGTGGACTAGTATCGAGTTCTTGTATCAAGAATTTTGGCTACAAATCCGATAAACTTAAAGTGTGGTTTCCCTGTGTTTATAACATAATTTCGACACATACCAAAAACAGAAATTCTGATTTCAAATAGGTATTTACCTCACATAGACAACATTAAGCTCGTATTACATTATGCACGTTGAAACAATTAGTCTTCGGTGTTGGTTGTAATACTCCACATTCATATCAGGGGCGATAGTAATGTTACGAGAAGTGTATTATTGTAATAGTGGTTATTTTATTGAAATATGCTTACTACTTATGTGCATTGTTGATGCATTTTCACACGGAGCTTTAACGTGAAATGAGTCATATGTCTGTATAAATAAAGTTCGATTCTCTATACGCCGTTAATCGTCTCTTTAATATTAAATATTGCTGTTTCTATTTATCTGTTATATCTTTCTCGTCTCTGAGCGTTAACAGAACATTGTGATTATTAAATATGAATAATGAATAAACTTCTTTTCAATTTGTTTCCAGACATATTTTTTTTTCTTAAATTAAAGAAATCTTATGTTCTGTCTCGTTAGCTTCGTAAAGTAATATAATAAAATATAAAGCATACTGAAATATACAACCACCACCTGTATTTTTGCAAAAAAAAGCATATTCATCAGCGATCTCAAAACATACAACTCCCACTTTATGTATGAGTTAAACCTCGTCCAGAAGGAGCAAATTCCCTGTGAATTATGCCTGGATTTCAAGTTCAATGCTAAAAACGTTTTTATATATTTTTAATCCTAATTCTCACCATGATTCAATGTACAACAGACCGCGTCTATTTCTTGTCTAATTTACTTGAGATGACGACACTTTGAAACCGGCGTGCTAACCACTCGGCTACGGAGGACGTCAAAATTGGTCAGATTTCATGTCAGGAATAAAAAGAGCTACCTGGAGAGTCACTTAGAACACGACATATCGAAAGTCTCGACTCCGCTGTGGTTTCACCAGACTTATCAAACCTGAGGGACATCGATATAACTAAAGGATACCTTTAATGGAGGCAGGAGAAAGCGTTCCTTGTATATGTCTATACTTGGTAGTTGGTACTTCGCATGATACTGAACGGAATGCTCCAACCGAAGCATTTTAGAATTGTAGAAATTTTGTAAGCGCAATTCTGACCCATACCTTGCATCTCAGAACTTGTCACTGTCGTACCTAACTTATAGTTTTCATTTTGCCGTTGATTATTGTAGTAACATCTTTACTAAAGATAGATGAGGAAAATTCAAGACATCATCGATGTGATCGTACATAACAGGGTTACAAAGCAGCGACATAGATATTTGTACAGACAGAAGAGAATTGCCATTCTAGCCTCTTTTTATGTTCTGTGGTATTTGCCCAATTCAATTCCTTTCAGCTGTCATGAAGACGTGAATATTTCACATGCGCTAACTCACGCCAAACGGGATATAAGTCAAAGTTTTCCAGATCTAATCCCTTTTACCGTAAATAGAAAATAACGTTATGTACGAGCTTTACAGATAACCTCTAGTGGTATATGTATAATTCAGGTAACTTTTGAATACAACGTATTAGTCTCGTCTCGCCACGGGCGTTTCTGTGTGGTACAGGGAAATCTGGAAAAGCAGGTTTAATTTTGTTATTTTCTACAGTAAGTTCGCATGTTGGTCCTTGCTGGACTACTGAAATGTTATTCTCCTATTTATAACATATTTAAGCTTCTCTCTATTCGTGCAAACAGCAAGCGTTACTACAAAATATATTTCGTTTTCTAATTAGAAAAGTGTGTTTATCGAGAAAAAATGTATTTGATTATACTAAAATTATAAAGGGGACAGATTTCATTGTTTGTTAATTTTGAAGGGGCTCCGAAAGTACTTAACGTCTTTCACCTACAGGAAGCTACATTATACGCGGCTGACATAGACTATAATTGAACTAATTTAATTGACGAAGTCATGGAAAAAGCTAGTTAGTCATAAATGTTGTAAGTTCTAGGGCCCTTTTGTCATTTTCATTTTGTTAACACAATTTTTATATTTTTTTCTTAGGTAAATATATTTTACATCATTTAATTTGCGATTCACAATTCATTGAACTATTAAAAAAAATCATTAAAAACATCAGATGTTATATTAGTAAGAACATTCACAAATGAAAGCTTATGAATACGAAAATAAAATATAAAGAACACGAAACGGAATCGTCTAAGAGTTCATTCATAGAATTTTACAAATTCACGAAATATCGCGTGAAAATGTACCTAAGCTACGTCTTGTATTTACCTTTTCATTCTATTTCAGTATGAAAACGCTTTTTTTTACATACTATTGAAAAAAGCTTTGCAAAAAAGATGTTTTTCTACTTTACAGACAAGATTGTTTAAACCATTAGTTCCTAAGAAACGTGGACTTATTTAATACTAGCTGTTTTCCAGTGACTTCGCTTGTGTCAATTTTGCCAGTATCACCCGCGTATGATGTAGTAGATTTTTTATGACCGAATCAATATTTCCAAGATATAAACAAACAAACAATGTTAGATACCTTTTTATAATATTAATGTAGACATTATATGAAAACTCATCTCAGTTATTATAAGCATATAAAATATCTCCAGCCTATGGGGGCACACTAACGCTGCTGCAGGCAGTTCACGTGTGGTCCCAACTATGTATATAAGCGCTCGATAAACTGGATTCCCCATCATTTACAATTAAATAAATAAATGAATTTTACACATACAGATTACTCAGATTCCTAATTAAGTAGCTTATCAAATCAAATCAAATCAAATCAAATTCTTTATTGGCCTTGTAACAGAGAATGTTTCACTAGGTAAGTCATTAATATACATTCATTGTCATTTAAGAATATGATATAAACTGTTATAATGTCATGATTATTAATAAATATAAAATAAATTATTTCAAATATAAGTATGTGTAGAATTTCAATAATAATATTAAAAAAAAAACATGATTAAAATAAATTGGCATTAAATTATTAATTCAATCGGATATTATTTCTAACGTTACTATCATTTAAAATCTATGAAAATGAGGATTCAGTCAATGGCATATTAATAAATTCTGTAAGTGTATAAAAGGCATTTTTTTCAAAGAACATTTTAATTTTTCTTTTAAACTTATTAATCTCTAAATTCATTATTGAAATTGGTAGTTTATTGTACATAAGTAATTTATTGTATTTTCCTTGTTTTTGTACTTTGGTGAGTCGCACCTTAGGTAATATCAATTTGTGTTTGTTTCTAAGGTTATATTTGTGTATATCCATGGTTTTGACATAGCTTTCCCTATTTTCATGAATTTCTAATAAGCATTTATATATGTACAATGATATTACAGTCATGATTTTATATTTCACAAAATGCTTCCTTGCTGATTCCCTTCTTTTAATTCCAGCTAAAATTCTTATTGCTCTTTTTTGTGCTATGAGTACTCTTTTAGCATTAACGCTGTTTCCCCATACTGTTATGCTATAACTAATTAGAGAATGCACATACGCGTAATAAATCGTTATCATAGTTTGACTGTCAGTAAGCGGTTTTAATTTTAAAAGGGCATAGTTTGCACTTGCTAGCCTTTTGCATAATCTTTCAATGTGAGGAAAATGGCTCAAAGTATAATCAATTATATGACCCAAAAATAAATGTTCTTGCTTAACGTCATTTTTATGTACACGTGATTTATGTTTAATTATAATACTTTTGTGTGTATTTAGCACAATACCATTAGCCAGAAACCAGTCTTTCAAGTTTTGTAACACTTCGGTAATCCTTTCATCTAATGCGTACTGTATATCTTCTTTTACTCCAACAAAAGTGTCATCTGCAAATAGATTTACGAAACCCCAATCGGGTAGATTACTGGTAAGATCATTTATATATACAAGGAATAAAACAGGGCCTAACATTGAACCCTGCGGTATACCTATAGTCAGATCAGCACTGTTCGAACGTACTCCGTCTACTAACACTATTTGTTTACGATTTTTTAGATAATTTATCATCATTTTTAGTTCTTTACCGTCAAAACCATAATATTCAAGTTTTTTTATTAATATATCATGTCTCAAACAATCAAAAGCCTTTGACAAATCACAATATATACTGGCGCATTTTTGTGACTTATCTAGTGCATCTAATATATAATAATTAACATTTCGAATAGCCATTTCTGTAGATTTTTTCTTCCTAAACCCATATTGAGCATTTGAAAATAGATTATTATTTTCGAAAAAATTTACTATATATTCTTTTATTATATTTTCTAAAATCTTTGATATTGTTGGTAATATACAGATTGGTCTATAGTTATTTGTATCACATCTTTCGCCTTTTTTATGTAAAGGTATTGTTAGTCCAATTTTCAATACATCTGGGAAAGTGCCCCCTTCAATGCATGCATTTATAACATTATGGAGTAAGTCAAATAATAAGTAATTTGACGAAAATATTTTTCTCGTTATAGATGTACTCATATCAAAAATATCTAGTGAGTGCTTGCTTTTTATATTTTTAATTATTTGGTATAGTTTAATTTTACTAACTGGCCTAAATTCGACATATTTTAATGTTTTTGTTGCGTTATTTAAGTATAATTGACATTTATCCATATCAATATTAATATCTTTTGTTATATTATTAGCTACATTTATGAAAAAGTTATTAAACGTATCAGCAACATCTTTTTTGTCATCTGTTATTTTATTATTATCATCTTTTAATACTATTTTAAATTTTTTATCATTATTCCTCTTTACTTTTATTTGTTCATTAATTATTTTCCATGTCTCTCTAATTTTATCTTTTGAATTTTTAATACGATGTGCATATTCAAGTTTTTTTGCTTTTTGTAACACTGCTCTAAATATTTTCTTATATTTTTTTATTAGTTTTTTTCTTTGTTGGCAAGGACACATATCTTGTAAAAACTTTAATTTTTCCAAATTTTCCTTAGAGATCCGTATTCCTTTAGTAGTACATTTATTGTAATTAGTTGTTTTAATCTGTCTACTCTTTTTAGGGAAAGCCACGTCAAAATAGAATACAATAGCCTCAACTAGAATTCTCATTTTTTCATTAGGATCCATTACAGTTGAAATTTCGTCAAATAGTTTATTATAATTTTGAAATATTAAAAAATTGAAATACTTAAAATTATTTTGTGAAAAATTACGTGTCAACTTATAACTAATCGTATTTGTTTTATTACAACTGTTTATCCAAACAACCATTTTGATAGCATTGTGATCTGATAATCTATCATGCAATACTTCACCATGGAAATCATTAAAATTTACTACAAAATTATCAATACACGAAGAAGATTTTCCCTGTATTCTAGTGGGTTCTCTTATTACACATTTACAATTATAATTATAAAGAATATTCATGAACTTATTTGTTTTTAAATTTGGTTTTAAAATATTTATATTGTAGTCACCAGCTATGATAATTTTTTTATTTTCTCGGGAAATTATATGTAAAATTTTAGTTATTGTATCTAAGAAAATATCTATATTTCTATCGGGCCTGTAAAGGCAAACAATCACCAATTTATGTCCTCGTAGTTCTATCGCTGATACCTCACAACTCATTTCGCGAGATAATCTATTAATATCATTTCGTATTCTATAATCGACTCCAGTTTTAGTAAAAATCGCCGTTCCACCGTGGTCAAATAATTGTCTGTTGTAGCAGGTTGCCATTTCCATATCAGCTAATCTCATTCCACATATTTGAAAATCTTTTGCCCATGTTTCTGTCAAACACAGTATATCACAACTTGTATTATTTATTAAATCATCTAGTTCCATGTATTTGTTATGTATACTTTGAATATTTGTTTGTACTATTGTTAAATTTTGTTGTTGTCTCTTTTGCTGATAATAAAATTTACATTTTGAGTGTTTTTCTGTTGCTCGTATCCACATGATATAAATTTTAAAACTGATGATCCCTGAAATGGCTGACTTAAGTATGATGCGATAGTTACTCTAAGATAATTTCTCGTCGCAATGAAGTTTCCCTTGTTTGTATTTAGATCTATGTATTTAATATTTTCGTTCATTTTTGCGATTTGTAATAATTGGTTATTTATATTATATATTGCATAATCATTTTGTCCATTGTATTTTAGGCTTGAAATAATAACTTTAAATTCTCTCTTCGATGTTGATATAATTTTCATCATTCTTTTCACAAAATAATTATTTTCATTGTAATAATCAAAGTAACTACTGAATAATAAAATTAAAATATCGTTCTTCTTCATATTTGAAGTTATTTTATCAATGTTTTGTATAATTGAGTCAATATTTGCGTTAGGCTTACAATAATTTATTAATCTATAGGGTAAAGTCAGCTTGTCTGTGATGTTAACAGCTAGATCTTTTCCTATTTCATCAGAAAGAATATGAATTTTATTTTTTCTAGGGGAATGATTTCTGACACCTGTGCAGTCAGCTTCGGGAATGTCAATCTCATTAATTTTGGTGGTTCTATTTCTGTGTATTGTAATATTTTCTTGCAATTCATTGATTTTAAATTCTAACTTATTATGTATATTTTTTAAAGCACAACATTTTTTTTCTAAAACTGTATTTCGCTTAACTATTTTTTTTATTTTTCTAATAGTAGATTTCCTGATTCTTGTGACCTTTTTATTGTTTAAAATCCACTTTATTATTTTTAACTTCTTCTTATTGGTAGGTACAACTTGTTTCTTATTCTTTTGATCCTCTAACCATGTGACCAGTTGTTTATTTCTTTCTTGCAATTCAGCAATTCTATCTAAGTGCAATTTGCAATTTTGCAAAAGTTTTGGTGAATCAATAGATTTTTTCTTTTGAGTTTCTTGAAAGTCTATTTCTATTATTGGCTTCTTTCTCTTTTTACCCGGGATCGGAGATAAAAAACCTTCACTGCTTTGTATTGTTTCATATTGTTCTATTTTTTTGTTACATTTCTCCAAATGCATCTTTAAATCCCTATTTTCCATAGACAAATTTTCGAGTTCATCTTTTGCTGATGCAAGCTCAGTTTCCAAACATGTTATTTTTTCAGTTAGCATGGTAATGGACGTGTTCATATCGATATCTGGTAAACTATTCGAAGGTGAGATTAATTTAGTTAATTCGCCTGTACTCCCAAGAGAGCTGGCTCTTTTACGTCGATGCACTCGAAAAGTGACGTTTTCCATTATTACAAAGAAAAAAAAAGAGACGAAATTAATGTTTTTTTATTCCTTCCCTATTCTTCTCTCCTTTTTCCTCTTTCCTTCAAATAAAATCCAAAAAAAAAAAAAAAACTTCCGTAGCAAAAAATGTGCAAGGCAAACGAAAAAGAGAAAAAAAAAAGTATGCTTATTGTCGGTCTTGAACTCCGGGCAACTGACGACGTGACGTCGCTGAATCCATTCGGCTACGCGTCGCTGACATTCAATGACGAAATTGTCTATACTACTATTTTTCTGATTGCTAAGACGAAATGAGTCTCTCATAAGGAAAAAAAAGTTTTTTGTGCACCTTCACAATTTAATTTCACTTTATATCTTGTTTAAATTTTCTTTTTATCAATCCATTTATTAACATTTAAATTTCACTTTAAATAATTTCTTCGGCATTGAATTCCATATCTTTCACTGTCCACTGTTCATCTAGACATTCAAAACAAATCCCATCTTCTTCACAAACAGATAACAGATATTTGATCTTTTTATTTACACTGCTTCTACAATTTAGCAAACACTAATATAGGTTTATGGCACTATGATAAACCATTTAAATATGAATGTTTTGATTGAAACTTAAACTGTGATTTTATTATTTATTTAAATCCGGAGTTTATGGAGTTGAACACGGCTAAGCGGGTAGACAATTCTTCTTGATTATAATCAAGAAGAAAGTCTTTTAATTTCTTTTATATTCACAAATTTATGATATTTAAGTGGCAACAAATTTATTTTTTGCCACTGCCAGAAATCCATGCCATTGCTTTATAGAAATCCAAAAAAAGTGACAGTGAATCCAAACCGAGACCTCAGAGTTTGTAATATTTCGAAAAAACATTCAATTCATTCGTAAATTTTGTCTCTATTTTCATATTTATTTTCATTATTATTTGCATTAACGGGAACTATGAAGAATTTAACGGACTCAGCCTCACAAACTTTCCTAAGTTAAAGTTTCATATAAATGACAATAAGGTTGTTTTTTATACAGCTTTGGGTCACTGTGTAGCAGGTTCACCGTAAGGTTTTTATAAGAATCCTCTTAAATCTCGATGAACGCCTATCCATCTTATTAAAGATCGACATTTTGTCTAGCTTATAAAAAGTGGATTAACTCATCGATCTATGTTACTGTTGTATTAAGTACCCCATATACCAATAATAAATCATTGTCGGTTAAAATATTTATCGTCGCTATTATAAAATAGTGGAATAAACAATTGGGCATACGTACCCAACTTACCGATCATTTAAAGATTCTTCGCTCTAGAGATAAAATTAACTTTTTTTATTGTCTATGGTCTGGGTGTTGTGTTACATATCCTATTTAATGCGGAATCCAAGCTATGTTTGTGTTATTGTTTACTATTTATTTAATTAAACCTCACCCTTATAAACTTGTCAAAACTGTAGAATATATATTATTAACATATGGTCACAAAAAGATCACAAAATCATACCCATTTAACATAATATCTTCAGGATAGCAATATCATGACTTATATCGTAATTGATGTTAGTGTAAATGATATGTAATAAAGCAGGGTACAGAGTGATTATTATCAAGATAATTATACTTTGATAATTATAAAGCGCTACACAAACTCTTTTTGTTCTTTAGGACTTGTTATTAAACGTTCAAAGATGATGTTGATAAATTGTTCAAGATGATGTTGAACAATTAAAAAATATATTTTTGGACCTATAAAACAAAAGATGAAAAGCCCCTTTTTATTAAAATATATTTATAATTTAATTATTTGTATTTTCATTTCACTCCTCATTCAATGTGATTTTACAGTTAATTATTTCGTTCATTTTGTTTGTATAACATATAAAAGTTATACTTATTTAAAAGAACAAAAATAAAAGTTGAAATTATTATAGATGCCTTTCTATATTTTAAAAATTGTTGCCAGTAACTTATCAAATATTTATATAATTATCATTATAATTATGAACCTTGTAATAAAGTGTAATAATATTACACCCATCAGTAGGCGAGCACTCTATTATTAAAACAGCCTGGAACTCTACATTAAGCACAGCGCTGTAATACTATGTAGTAGGGCGGCGCTAATCCACTACGCCACCGAGTAGCTCGGTGGCCCCGTGATCGTAGTCGTTAAGCAACTTTCACATGGGTAGGTCACGGGATGGGTGACAAAAAAAAAAAAATATTTCGAGCTACTCCGTGCTTCGGAAGGCACGTTAAGCCGTTGGTCCCGGCCGCATTTGCAATCGTTAATACCTTCCAATCCGCATTGGGCCAGTGTGGAGGGTCATGGCCCACCCTCCTTAACCATCCATAAGGAAGGCCTGAGCCCCTGCAGTGGGGACGCAAAAGGGTTGATGATGATGATGATGTAATACTATAGAAGTTCAATCAAATAAAACCTACTTCAAATGGCAATAAAGTTCTTATTTAATTGAAGGTCTAATTTGTGACAGGGCTGCACTCGAGGCTATTTTTAACAGAATAGCTTAACTGGTTTTGTCATTCGTTGTCAATCATTAATTATACGATATAGACATCCCTCGTTATCGTAGTAGATGAAGCGGTCGATATCATCAAAATATATTAACCTTAATAGTCTACATTAATATTAAATGCAATCTATTTCTATACGTTCATATATAAAATCCAACGTCTTGTTCCTTCAGACAAGTGACATGTGATAGAAATCTTCGGGTGGATAGAAATTGACAACCTCGTAAGAATAACGACGTCTCGAAAGTGGCTTTATATATTAATTTCGAACATACTCCATGAGTTAGAGAACTTGAGTTCTGAAATGTTTCGAATTATAATTATCATTGGAGAAAATGCATTAAAGAATTGAAAACAATTGAATTTAGTTTCTCTTCTTAAACGCTACACAATTTGAGAGGAATTTTACTGTGAAATAATGAACATCTAAAGCATTATACTCGGAATTAGGTGTTATATAATGGAATGAAAAATTCATTTAATTAATCCTTTACTATTAAATTCGAAAACAAGTAATAAAAGTATTGTATAAACTATAATTAGCCGTCATTAATAAACTCTGATTACTGCGGCGTCACAAATTTCTATTTCTATACGAAAATTTCACCGACCCTTTCAATCGCCACTAAAAGCCAATGACTAAAATCGATATCCATTTCTGAGTTACAACTCTATACCCAAAACTTAGGCCGCCGACGCACGCACCATTAATAATGTAGGGTGACAACGACGCAGGTGCGAGCCGAGACGCCTCTCCGATAAACAGGCCGATGCATAATTGAACACGCGTGTACACCCTCTATCCTAAGTGCGCACTAAAGTTAGTGTGATGGATGTTTTTTAGGCAGATGAGATATTTTAACACCGCTTTAGCATGATTAATGGTCTTGTCACAACGTATCTTCTCGATACGGGCCGTGTGACAGGTCAAGCCAATACATTTTATGAACCCTTTAACCGAATAGTGCAAATTTAGACTTTTTTTTTGTTTTTTTTTTTTATTTAATCAAAGACCCTCAATTTTACATATATTTTTTTTATTTAATTAAAAACCCTAAATCTATACTATCAGGGCCTGCGATATTTATGCATCAACGACGTATTTTTTTTTTCACAAGAGTTTGTACACATGAAGGAATAATTCTACTACAACTTAAGTAATACAGTCGACAGCTAAAATATTATTTAAATATAAGAAAAATCAAAGGACAGTTCAAAGGCTGACAATCCGATTTGGTAACAACTTTACCGTAAATAACTTTCTATTAATTCTCTTTATACGTTAACTGTAAGAACGAAAAAGCTGACGAACAACATCTCAGTCTATAAAGTGAAAATGGAATCTACTTACAGAAAAAGCCCCAATTAGTCCGGTCAATTTATACAATGACCCTTGCAAAAATTCCCAGAAACCTGAAAATTTGCATAGATGTTAGGGTCACCATTGTTATGAAATTGTGAAAAGTCCCATCCATGTCTGCAAAAAAATTTTATTCAAGATCAAAGGTTGCAAAAATGGGCTTTTTAATTTTTTCAGCGAAACAGTTAGTTTTATGATAAAATTCGTGAGACTAAAATTGTAGATCATGCAATCATCTACAAAAATTGTCCCAACACATTTTTCCATAACACTAACCATTTTTGAGAAAAAACAATTACAAAATTTTCTTACTTAGTTGAGTTATCTATAATATGTACACGTTTCCACACTACCTATGAGGTAGGGTACCTAGCGCGTTTTTTTTAATGTGGTTTCCCCGGTAGACCTATTCCACAGTCTGAATATGAAAATATGAAAATATGACATCCAATACAATCCTCATTAGCGCAACCTTTATTATCTGCATAAGCAACATAATTGGAAGACAGGTAATAAAACCATAAAATGGCGGAGTGGTTTTAAGCGAGGCAATTAAAAATGTTAATGAAATGTGCACCTCAGGGAGTCACCCTACTTTAAAGATTATCTGCTGACCTTTAGCGAGTGACCTGTGATCCCGCCACGTGGCTCACCCCGCGGCTCGCTTTGACAATGCTGACCCCTACTTGTTACGTCAAGAAACATACATTTTTAATTTTTCTCACAGCCGTGACAATGAAATCTAAATTTAAAGCCACACTCCCAAGTTCGTTTCTATTATTATAAAACTGTTTTATTTTCTAAATATAAATATACTATAATTTCTTTGATTTCACCTATTTTCTTTATAATAATATTATATATTGAATCGAAAAGTGTCAATGAAAATGAGTTGATAAAGGATCATGATTTATTTTTGCATCTAGTTTGGAAGCAAAGTGTGTTATTGTATAAGCTGTGGAGACATATTATTGAAATATTTCCTGCACTAATACTTTTTTAATTAGAATAGATATAAATTGTGCAATACACTGTCTGTGTCCCTAAATATATAAATGAATAAATAAAACTATGTTAACTAAGGTTCATCATTCGACCAGATTTATATAACTAATAACTTGACTAAATAAAATACAGAGTTTTTGAAACGGGACGGTAATTAAGTATTTATAGCTTTTTAATAAATTTTAAAAAATTACAGTCACTAATTCTAAAATACGAAGAAAATATGCCCATCGATTATATTTTATGTGAAAAAATCATAGCCGTATGGGACCGTTTAAAATATCAATACCTTATATTAATAAAATCGGCAAAACTCTTCCCATGCATTGTATACGCCAATATTAATTATTAGATTCTTCATCTAATTTTGTTGGTCTCAGACTTTGATTATCTAATGTCTTTTTTTTCAGACATCGCACTATAAACGACTTCAAATTGTGGTCAAAGAGCTTGCATCAAAAAGACGCTAAATACCAAGAACGGAATAGTATTACCAAAATGGAAAATAAAAAATTAAATTATTACCTACTCACACGGTTTTAAAAAAGTTTATTATTATTCTTTCATCACTGAGCACTATTATTAACTATACTCAAACTTCACATAAATCTATTCATTTGTGAAATAATAGTGCTATTCATTGGCGTATGCAAATGACTTGTAAAAATTCGCTTTGTTGATAGAGACTGGTCATTTTATCTCACGAGATTCGCGAGCTGTTAGAGGGGTCATCTTGATACCTTTCCCATCCTTTGTGACATTCTATCACGAGATATCGCCAGGCAAACACCGTTGAAATCGGGGATCACTTAGTTTTATATCGGATTTAGTGTTGAGTGAAAATGGATAATTGGATTACTCAGCTGTTTCAGACGCCCACTTTTAGCAAACCGAAGGTGAGTGGTATAAGTATGTTCTAGGGCGCATGATCCGGTTTTGACCTAGTTTTGGCCATTGTAAGTTTAAGGCCTAGTTTTAACAATTTTAAGTTACGAAGAAGTGAATTGATACATAGCTCTGCCGTCCTTACCATAAGTACAATAACCCGAAAGTTAGGCAAGCTGTCTTAAATACATATTCGTGATCAGAAAAATGAGCTGTATATTTTTCTTGGATTATTTTTTGTATTGACAACAGTTTT